GCCCTGTCTTCGCGCTGGGACAAGATCATCGCCATCGAGCGGCACGCCCCCACCCTCGCCTGCGCCCAGTCCAACGCCGCGGTGTACGAGGCCGACGACCGCATCACCTGGATCCACGGCGACTGCTTCGACTACCTCCGCCGTCTGCGCACAGATCCGGCCTCCCTTCACGAGGATCTCCAGGTCAGCGCCGCCGAGACGGTCATCTTCGCGTCCCCGCCCTGGGGCGGCCCCGGCTACAGCACCGCCGAGGTCTTTGACCTGCGCTTCATGGAGCCGTATAACCTGCAGCACCTCCACGATGCCTGCGTTCCCATGGACCATGCGCTTTACCTGCCGCGCACGAGCGACCTGCGCCAGATTGCCAAGCTCGCCCCCGGAGACGACAAGATCGATGTTGTGCAATACTGTATGAAGGGGGCGAGCAAAGCCCTCGTAGCATACATTCCGGGCACCGCTAGTAAGCCTGGCAAAGAGAGGCCGGTAGACGCATAATAATAAGAAGCAAAAAAAAGTTGAAAACTGTGCTATTTTGGGGGGCCCTGGCCGTCCCGTCGCTATGAAAACGCTCCGTCCTTCTCTAAGTCTACAATGCCCGTACAATGGTGCGTTCATCAAACACGTCCTTGAGCAGTCCCTCGATGCAAAACTCCAAGTCTAGCGGAGCCATCGCATATGTAGATTCAAACGCAAATATGCTGAGCTGGCCGAAAAAGGGTCGCAGAATCTTGGCCACGAGCTCGTCCTTACGGTCGATCGTCACCTCGTCCTTGATGCCGCCCGCGCCAAGAAGAGGCCGTCTGTGCGAGCTGCTGGCGGCTAGATGCGCCGCCGACTCGTTGTGGAAAGCCGAGTTGGCGGCGACCTGGCCCAACTCTTCTGAGAGCTCGTCGACCAAGGCGACGGGCTGGTAGTTGGAGGCTCGGTAGACGGCGTCAATCGTGTCCGTGATAAACAACCACTCGTGCAGCTGGAAGTCGTCTGGCGCGACGCAAATGAGGAGATCGAGTAGTTTACACGCCTGGAGAATGGATATGTTGTTGTACGTTTCCGATGCTGAGCTGTGGTCGGGTGCTACGACGGACGAAATGGCAGAGTGTAGCTCCGCGTTGATGATCGGCCACATCATGGCGAGATGAATGGCGCTCGTCTTCAGGACTAAGGCTCGCACAACCATGAAAATATCTGACCTAGTGCTAGAGGACGGAGACGATGTCGAAGTGGCACCCAGCAGCTCTACCAATTTCTCCAAGATTGTAGGTAGATCTGACACAAAGGTGTCTTCGCTAGCCGCAAGCACGAGAGTAGCTACCCTGCGCAGATTGAGCTGTGTCTTCCTGTCGGCCTCGAGCCTGGCAGATGTCGCACCGACGCCGAATACGATACCTGCAGTCGTAGGGGGGCTGATGCGAGCCAAGATGTCAGGCATGCGGTCCTTGTCACTCAGAGTCCATTGACGCAGCAGGGGCAACCAATCACTCTGCACTAAAGGCAGACCGGTACCGAAGAATCTGCCGTCATTGAAAGCATCGCCAACATCCTTCTTCCACGTCTTCTGGTTGTTGGGTAGCCTGGCCAGTTCTTGCAGCAGCTCGAGAGTGCTGTGGGTGACCGTTTCGGGGAAACCCTTTGCTCGAAAAGCCGGGCCAATGACGTTGGCGGCGATCGTGCCCGCCGCTGAGAGAACACGGTCGTTTTCAACCAAAACCTTGGGCAGGGTCGGGACGATCGAGGCTAGTATAGCGACCACATCCTCGGCTCTATCAAGACTGTTCATGGTTGTTCGCCGACTGATGTCTCGGGACTTGTCACCCTTGTCCGAGGCTGTTTCGGCAAATGACATGGGTTTTGTGGTGAAGATGGCCGTCAATAGACGGAGGAACAGGTCCTGCGATGCGATTAGCAACTCAAAGTCAATTGAGGTGTCAACAGACTTACGCCAAGCTCACGACGCATCTTCCGCTGCTCGCCAAAGTTGGTATTGTCGACCTTTTCACCAAGTATAGCTGCGAATTCAAGTAGGCTGGGAAGGGTCTGCCGATGCGGAAAAGGATTGGCAAGTAAGTCTCTGAGGAAAGCCATGCAGTCCTGCCAGATCTCGTCCATTGCGTCGTCCTCGAGCGAGCGGGCATACTCCACGAGAAAGGTGACCAGATCGGTATCTTGCAGAGAAATAGTGAGTGTTGACCTCCTGGCTGGATCGAGAGCCTGAGGATTAGTCCTGCTGTAGATTGCATTGAAGATCGCCGGTATGGTATGCCGAGGTCGAGAACCGTCGAGGGCCGGCAGAAGCTTGAAAACCTCGGACTGCTGTGCTACTGCAGATACTTCGATGGAGGCGCGCCAGATGCCAATGGCTGTTTCCAGGCACTCGAGCGTCTCTGCCGCAAAGAGGTGCTCCAAGAGACGTCGTGCCCTGTTCCGCATCCGCAGAGACGTATAGTTGAAAGACGAGACGGATGTGATGTCTTGCGCCCTGACATCTGCTCCTTGGCCCCAAGACCAGATGGTGAAACAAATGCGCACCGCATCTTGGAAAGCTAGGTGCACAGTGAGCCGGTCATTGGCTGTTACGCTACGCGAATGTGATCCGTCTGATGCGAAGACGCCAGAAACCATGTTTCCGAAGAACCCTTGTTGTTGGTCCGGTCCCTTGACCACTTGCGTCCTGGCCTCTTCAGCCAGGAGGCGCTCGTGTCCGCGGGCTAGGACCTGCTCGAGTGCGTTCAGCAGTGATATGAGGGTTGATTCGGGCGCATTCCACTCATCAGAGGCCACGCTGTGCGCATCTCTGAATGTGGTCTGCAAGTTATCAAATGTAGCCGAGACTTGCTTACACAGCGTCTCGACCAGAGGAATAAGAACTTGGAAGATTGTATCCGAGTAAAGTGGGAGACACTCTGTGAGGAAGCTGACCCAGCTGTCGAGCACGCTGCGACTGCTCGTGGCACTCAAGCCGGATTGTAGACACTTTAGAAGTGATGGCGGAGGAGACAGGATGCGTGGTCCTTCTTCATGTTGCATAGAAGATCGAGGGCCCCTGTTCGGTTCGACGCTCAGTTTGCCCTTTTCTGACGTCGGCGATGTGGGCAGTTCAGGTGGAACGTGATGTCTTATCTTCAGCGTCGCAAAAACGACATCCAAAAGAAGCACCTGAACGTACGGGTCAGGCCCTGTAAGAGACTGGGACAACCGCTCGATGAGGGGCTCCTCCAGATGTAGGCTTGACAGAGACTCCGCGTATGGATTGAGGAGGATCTGGTGCAACAAAGTCAAGGAATATCGATACAGCTGTGTTGTTCGAACCTTGCTCTGCTCCCCTCCAGGCAAACTTGCTCCGGCGATGCAACGCATGCAGACCTGCAGAAAGAACTCCTGCAATGACACGTCTCCCTCGCGGCCGACTACTCCAGGTCAGCATTTGAAGTGGTTGGGTGAATTGGGTGAGAAAACTTACCGATGCGCGCGATTTCTGGTCGACTGGCATTGGGATTGAGAGTAGATGAACCCAAAATCGACCAGATGGCATCAGGGGCCCAACGAAAAACATTTGACAATGTCCGAAGGTCGAGTAGTATAGACATGTGTCGAGGTCGTCACCATCAGTGAAGGCAGGTGAATTGTCCGTCCCCACATTGCCACCCGCACTGCGACGTGCTCCAAGGAAGCTCATGGCAGAGAATTTGGCAACAAAAACGAGAAAGAGCTTGTCGATGCCTACTAGGCTATTTAACCAAGACTTGACAGTCATGAAGAGCTGCGTGCGCTCATCGAGTAAGGCGTCAAGCATCAGGAGCAGAGGCCTCGTCAGCATCACATCGTAATGGTCAGCGCCGCTGAGTCGAGGAAGTGGCAGCTTTTCTAGGGTGGGTGTCCTCGAACCCCTTCGGTCTGACTGGGAGTCATTGAGGGTATGAGACCACAAAACAGAGAATCTGCGGCCAGGGTCGGCTCGACGTGCCGCAAACGCCCCTTGCGTGTCTTTCTCAGTAATCAGTTTCGATAAAGTGGCTTCGATATCGCGGCTTTGAGGCGAAAGCACTGACTGGAGTTGCCACAGGAGTCGGACCGTTTCGACGTGAAATTTGGGCTCCGAGACTGCGAGATAAGTCCACGCGTGCCGAACAATTGGTGCCACGAGATCAGCTAGGTCTTCCAAGGATGTCCTTTTGGCAAAATACAAGTGGCTCGACAGATGTACCACAGAATTGAAGGAGGAAAAGGGGAGGCCAGTGTCTTGGGCAAGCCGTGCGTGTAGGCATGACAAGATCTGAGCTGTGTCAAGCTCGTAGCGAACCGAGGTCTTCACAAGCAACGCAGTAAGAAGCCTTCCCTTGGTTCCTAGCTCCAGGCTGGTGGTAGACAACCCTTCGCAAATAAGCCTGCCCGATTTTCGAACAAGCAGTTCACCTACTTCCACTGGAGTGAAAGGAGCGTTAGCGGCATCCAGACTTCCCTGGTCGTTGACGTAGAAGGCCTTGATGCGCTTCAAGAGCTCGATGACAGGCAATGAAACCAACACAGCGGCTTCCATTGTCCTTGCTGGTTTGTCCTGCGTCGGAAAAGCCCTGTCGGGAATAAGATCGAAAAGTGACAGGGCGATTTCTAGGATCCTCTCGGTGACCGCTTCGAGTCGCAGCGTCGCCTGATCTGGATTGTTCTGTCTGTCTTGAGCATCCTCCAACATGCAGAGGATGCTGAGGGCGGTTAGAGGTGCGTGTATGGTTATCATTTCCTCCTCCCTAATGTTGAAATTTGCGAGTATGAAAGTGACGAGGTCCAGCTTATCCAGTCGCTGAGCTGTGGAGAGACTACTGGGACCAATTGCTTGCGCCAGCAGGCTAACCATCTCACCATAGATGAGGCCACTTTCGACGCCGTCAAAGAAGACACTGGCACTCTTGAAAACCTCATTGAAGTCATTCTTGTTGGAGGACTGACTCTTGTACTGGCGGACACTATCGACGATGGGCAAGAAGACTTCAGGCACGACAAGCCCTCCAATCTCCCAGCGGTCCATCAGCGAAAGGCATATCCTGTAGGGCCGAGCTCTCTCCGTTGGACTTGCGTCTGAGGATGCCTGGATCATAGCCAGTAATGCCTGAGTCAAGGAATGGAGCCCGTGATCTTCAAAGTAGCTCGTTTTGGAAGTGAGGTAGGATTGTGGGTGCTCGACTGACAGCGGAGATTCGACGGTGCTTTCGTTGTCGGCTGCCGGGGGATCGGGGCCCAGGAACCATGCCCAAAGTCTCCTGTTCAAACTCATGTCTCTCCTGATGACGACGCCAGAAGCAGCCCGCAGGAGAAGCTCTAGGTCGGCAGGCTTGACCCTGGTTTGCAGTACCTTGGAGTGCAGTGGCAGGTGGGTGACCAGGAGGTCTAGGAATCCTCTTTGGATCAGGAGCTGCTCGTCAGCCAAGCCTGCGGCGAAGCACCGAAGGAGTAGACCCGGCTCCGGTGATGTAACAATACGTCCGAGCTGAATAAACAAGTCTGCTTGGTCCCCATTGTTGGTCCCGTCGTCCTTGGGGGGTGCCGAAGATATAGGTTCTCCTAGCTTGGGCAAGGTTCTCACGAGATATGCCAATGCACCGCCTCTTCTGCTATGGCTGGTGATGGATGCTAAGAAGAAGCACTGCCAGAAGAAATCGTCGCCAGTCGAATGCACGTCGGTCAGTTCTTCACTCCCTGGGGATCGTATGGCCACTTTGAAGCTTTCCATAAGCTTCATGGTACGGTCAAAGTCCTCACTGGTCTCCTCCTCCAGACCCGGCAATAGTGCCAGCACGATTGACTTCATTGCTGGTCGCAGAGACCGAGGATCCAACCGCAGAAAGTGGGTTTCGAGGATATCAAGGTATGGGGCCCGGACGGAAAGGGATGCAAATGACAGGGTCGATGCCAGTCCGGGAAGGTATAATGGGAGATCCCGAGCGAGACCATCTTGGCCTATAGTGGTAAAGACGTAGTTGTACACCTCGAGGGCTTTTTGGTGGACACCGGAAGGCAAAGTTGGGTTGAGACACTGGGCTAGTCTCTTCGCGATAGTGGCCTTGGAGGGTACGGTTGTGATGGAGTTGTGTCGGGCTTGCAATGCCTGTTGGTGCTCGGATTAGCAACATGTTCTTTGCAAAAGGCTGCCGGCTCTACGTACCCGTAGAAGTCTGTTGAGGAAGGAGATGTAGTCTGCCCATTCTTGAAGTGCGGTTTCGAACAAGGTTAGAGCTCTCTCAACTCCAGAGGCGTACTTGCGGTAAGCTTTGTCGTTGGATGGCGCGTCCTCTGTCGCTACCAGTCAGCGCAAGTCATAGCTTGGGCATGGCGCATCATGTGAGGTCCTACCAGAGCCTAGTTGATTTCGCCATTGTCGGGTCGGTAGAGGCGAGTCTCTACCCGAGCTCTCTGGCGATAGGGAGCGACGGCTCGAAGCTGGCTCATTGGCCATAGTTGCGGTGGTTGGAGATGGGATCGTCGGTGGTGTTGTAGTTGTGGGACATGAGCATGTGCCGGCTCGAGGCTGCAGGCCGCAATGACATCGCTAACTTAAGCCTGGTGGTGCTTCAAGGGCGTGTTGGCGTGGCCAGGAGAGCGTTCTGCGAAGAAGCCAAAGTTCGTCGCAGGTTGTTGCACATCACTCACAAAGGGGAGAGGCTACATGGCATTTCGAGTTGCGACCCGTGGAATGACCACGCTTCCCACCTCAGCTCTAGGTACCTCCTTGGTGGGGTGTCTGGGACCTCAAACTGGAGCCTAGCGCCCTGTGCTTGGCTGGCTCCAGGGATGTCAGGCGCCGGTGGCTCTAGAGCACGCCCCCGTAGTGCGGTACCTTGCTTTAGGGAGACCTCTGGTGGGGGTTGAGTGCCTGGGCAGCAACGTCACCACCGTTGGATGGGGTGCCGAAACGGGTCCTAGGTCAATATACTCCGGCGGCACCCAACGTCAATCGTCAAAAGACAGCATCATCTACCACACCTCGTGATCGCCGCGCCTCGACTCGGTCGGGACTCTTGCCCCCTTCCCCGAGCCCAGCAGAAGCAGTATGGAAGTTCGAGTCGTGGAAGAACGGATAGAGGCGCGCGGCATCTCCAGAATCACGGCCCCGAGCCACCCAACCATCGAGTCGAACCAAGACGGTGTCATGACCCGCGATCGATCCCATCATCAGCAGAACCGGACCCATGGGTGAGGACCCCAAAACACAGTCTGGCGATAGCCAGGAGCAGCGCCCACCACTTCCGCCGCGGCCCGCCGCCTTCACGAGCGCCTCGATCGACTCGAAGCTCGCTACAACAGCAATCACGCCGGTCGATATCCAGACACTGTCGTTTCCCGATGGCACTCGTGGCACGTTTCCAACGCCCGGCGCACAAAATGCCTCGACGCCGCCTGGCTCGTCCATAAGTGGCTCAGCTACACCGCGGCATGATTTGGGCGAGATGGAAGATTCCATGAGCATCATGAGCCTTGCGCCGACGATGCGGCCTGCTGGCGATATTGCAAGCCTGCTCACGGGCGACTTCAACAGGCGAAGTCCAGCTTGGAACCTGCTGCGCTCGCAGTCTCCCGCTGTGCTTCCATTCGAGACTTTGGATCTGGACACTGCGACACACAGGCTTGCTGCTTTCGAGCACGAGTTTGATCCGCTTCCCGACGACTCGAGCCCAGATGTAAAGGACGAAGATCGCCTTGAGCTCTGGAAGTCCAAGCTGAAGCAGTTCATGATTCTGTCATCGGCCGGAAAACCAATCTGGAGTCGCCATGGCGACCTGGGTCTCATCAACTCCTACATGGGCATCATCCAAACCATTATTTCTTTCTATCAGGGGGCTAATAACCCCCTGACGGGCTTCACCGCAGGCGACACGAGGTTCGTCATTGCGACGGAGGGCCCCCTCTATTTCGTCGCCACAAGCAGGCTCGGTGAAAGTGACTCCCAATTGAGGGGCCAACTGGAGGCTCTGTACATGCAAATCTTGTCCACCTTGACTCTACCGACCCTGCGGAATATCTTCGTGAACCGGCCATCCACTGACCTGCGCAAACCTCTGCAGGGCACCGAATCGCTCCTCTCATCCCTCGCAGACCACTTTACAAAAGGCTCTGCCTCGGCGCTGCTGGGGGCTCTCGAGTGCCTGAGACTGCGCAAGTCACAGAGGCACGCCATTAACAATGCCTTTCTCAAGCAGCGGACGGACAAGCTCCTGTACGGCCTCATCGTCGCCGATGGCAAGCTTGTCAGCGTCATCCGGCCGCGGCGCCACTCCCTCCACCCGAGCGACCTCAAGCTCATCTTCAATATGCTCTTTGAATCAGGTGGCATCAGCGCCGGCGGCGGCGAGAACTGGGTGCCCCTTTGTCTGCCCGCCTTCAACAACAACGGCTACCTCTACATGTACGTCAGCTTCATCGACGGATCCTCAAACAGCGACGCCTCGTCCCAACCAGCAGACGCATCTTCCTCCAGCGGCGGCCAAACGGCCATCATTCTCGTGAGCCCCGACAAGGAGTCCTTCTTCGAGCTCAAGCAGATGCGGGACGCCGTCGTCGCCTCTCTCGAGAAGAACGGTCTTCTCGCCATCATTCGTGCAGCCGCGAGTGCAGGCCGCCCCGCCGTCCCCGCCATCGCAGCGGGCAGCCAGGTTAGCCACTTCCTCTACAAATCCCGCGCCAACGTCCAGTTCTCCATGTCCGCCCTTGATCCCGTCTTCGCCTCCCCCATCGCCCGTCGCCGCCTCATGACCCTCTATCATCAGCTCCACGCTTCCGTCCACGCGAAGCACTCGGCCATGCGTGTCCTTCACTGCGTCAGCGAGGAGGCCACGAGTCTCGCGTGGGTGACTCCCATATTCGAATTTTATTGCGTCGCTGGCCCCAATGTGAGCAGGGCTACCATCACCCAAGGCGCGAACAAGATCATACAATGGGCCAAACGCGAAGAAGAACGCATTTTCATCATAGGCGGTGGTGTCTTCTAAGAAGAAGCGGCACATGGTAGCGGTGCCAAGCATATTGCCGACTCAATCGGCATCCATCTCATGGGGCGGGATTTTCAAATAGACCACGCGTTCACATACATGCAACAGTCTAAACAATCGACTCATCTATTGATAACTCGCGATAGTCCAGCTCCACCTGCCCGTGCGTGTCTCCTCGTTACTGACCATGATCCATAGCATCAACGACCAAGAACAACTACCGGATACTTTCGCTCCATATACACAGCGTCTATCACGCCGTGGTCGCATTACATCCCCCACTAGCCATGTCAAACTGGGTCAACGCATACGCACAAACCAGAAAGAGCAAACCAAAGCCATCCTGGTTAGATTGGAGAAGCCAGGCCGTTCTTGCATGTTCAAGAATTCCTGACATCTAAAACCCAACGGAAGTGCAGCCAAAGGTGGTCCAAAAGCCACGAGTCGTCCCGCGAGTCGCTATCGCTTACTGGCAACGTCGTTTTTTCATGCATGTGTGTACTACACGTTTAGCCTCACGAACCCACTGTCGCATACGATTGCTGATCCTCGCTGACTGAGTAGACCGAATACTCCCTTCGCTACTCCGAGGCTGCACAATAATGGCCTCAGTGCTTTTGCGATATCTGATATTGTCGTTGCTTGCAGCGATATTCAAAGGCTGTTCGGCTTGCCTGAGAGCCCTGTTCCGTAGCTGCAGTCGCGATTTGGTCATACGGATGCGCAAGTTCGACATTTTCTTCCTCAAACGCTGAGGTCGGGCATTTGACTCTGAGTGAAAGCTTCCTGTCTCGCTCGAACCGTCTTCCGTAGACATGCTGAGTCGCGTCGGGATCTTTGCCCCGTGGCAAGAGGGCGACTTCGGTCCTGTCAAGGACACCTTTTGCGTCCGAGGCTGGCTTGCCAGAGTATCTTGGTAGTCAAAAGCAACATGTCTGGTCGTCTTGGAATCTGCCGTTTTGGCGGATTGCGGAGGGGTGGTGAAAAGATCACCGGGGGTTCCTGTTGTCAATATGCTTGGAGTCTGACGTTTCGTCATGCCCACACGCCCTTCTCACGGTGCCCTCATACGTCTCCGTATCCTGGTCAGCTCCCGACGTCGCAGCCTCAGCAGGTAAGGGTTTTGGCCCACGGCGGGATAGCTTGGTGGTCGCAATACCTTTCAACATCTCTTTGGGGCCAGTATGAGGGACGCTGCGGGTCAATTGATCTTGCTCAGCTCCATGATTTGGAACCGCTCGCGGTCTTTGCGAGGCATTCGAGCGCATGGAAGGCGATAGTTTGAATAGGAAGCGCTTTTTTCTGACGGGCGATGGAGTGTTTCTGTCTTGCTCGTCCGTATTCGTCTTAGAAGTTGAAGCAACATGGCGAGAGGTTTTTGGTGTTGACAAGTCGGACAGGTGGAAGGGCGAGAAGCTCAACGAAAAGTTATCTTCTGTCAATGAGTCGACCGTCCACAAGCCTGGCCGTGCCCTGTTATACGGCGTTGGAGGAAGTGCTTTCTCAATTTTTGGGATGCTGTTTCGTACTCTCAACTGCCTGGCAGGAGAGATAGGCTGTGGTGACAAGATCTCTCCATTCGCGACAGTAATCCCTGACGTATTTATCTGCGGTGCCGGCCTGTTCTTTCTGTGGAAATGAGCAGGCGATTCTTGTTTACAATCAAACGATGGACGCCCGATCGACAAAATGTCTTTCTTGGCTTCGTCTTCACCTTGACAGGAGGAGAGCACAGCGATCAAGTCTTTCTCCAGTATTCCTGAAACGTCGTCGTCCTTCTTAACGAATGATGACCTTGCAACGCGGTCAAAGGACGAGACTAGAGCTGCGAGATCTGAAAGTCCGGGGTCCAGAGAATTGTGTAGGCTGGCACGCAGTAATGCCGTAAGCCTCTTGTAGGACGTGACTCTCTTTGAAGGCGTTTCGGGTGCAATGGATTGTCGAGATGTTGGCCTGGTGGAATTCGGACCAGTAGTGTCAGTCTCAGACTCTTGCTCCTTGGTCTGGTGGCGTGCCTCTTCAACTGGCACCGTCCACAGCGATTGGGTTGGTGGTGGAGCTGGAAGAGATTCTTGTGACGGCGTTGGGTGGCTACCTTGACTAGTGGATGGCAGATGATCGTTCGTCGCATTTCCCAAAACTTCTTCATTTTGAGCATCGAAGAGCGGCGGTTGCAATGGTTGTCCTTGGTCTGCAGACGCAGCTCGATCGGTCACAGAAGGACAGTTGCCAGTCTCTCCAGGCTCGAGTGCCGGCGTCTCATAACGCGAAATTGATCGCGTACTTTCCACCTCATATTCAAGATTGCCGCCACAGTAAATCTCGAGTGTTCCGTCCTGATGATTTTCGTCACGCAATGACGAATCACTGAGATCCTTGACCGATATATCCACAACAGCATCGAGGCGTGCCTGTGTCTCATCTCTGAGCACCAATGGTCGATTGAAGCTCGAGGCTCGTTGTGGGATAGGTGCCAAAGGAGGCCCAGGCGTGTGAACAGGGGGTACTTGCGGAGCGCAGCTATCAAACCCTTCCGTATAATCGTAGTAGAACGATGCGCCTGGTGCAAGAGGAGGGGGCGGTTCGTATGGAAGACCAGGCCGACGGTAGAGTTCAACAATTGACGTCAAGCTCGATGACCTGGCGCTGTAATCACCGGATGATAGACAAGAGTGATCACCCCTAATGTTGGAGCGCCCATGTGACTGGGATGAACGGCTCCGGCCCCGCCCTTGGGGTGCAGATGTGCTAAGAGGGATCGTTGGCTGGTTGGACCGATGACATTCGTTGCGTAACGACAGCGGAGGCGGTCGGCGATGACAATGAGGGTTCATAGGCCGCTGGGGTCCTTGAAATGTCCTCTGTGGTTCCGGTCAGTTTCCTTATACGGTGATCGAGGACGGATTATGAACTCACGTAGGAAAGTCGATCGATTTCAACCATCCGACTGTAGTCTATCCTGCCATTCTCTGTCAGAGCAGGGGAAGAAGGCTGCGTACCAGGCCGCTTTAAACAGGTTGGGTATGGAAAGGGGGAACGAGGTCGCTGAGCAGAACATGTGCCAGAGTTGTCGTTGAGTGTCTTAGAAGATTTGTAACTCAGAAGCGGCCTGGAACCACAGGTTGTCATCGAATATGACCGCTGCCCGTTCTCATCCGCGGGAGGTGACAGCGAGCTGAGACAGGACGAGGGCTGGCTATCTGTACCGGAGCCATACATGGACAGGATCTCCGATGTAGTGTCTCTGTACGAGGGCAACCGTCTCCGGTCATCTCGGCGGTGGGTGCCCTGACTTCCTCTTGAGCTGGGCCTGGACGGGGTTCTGGTTCGATCAAGGCTTGGTCTGGGTCGTGAAATCTTGTACATCGAGTGACCAAACGAGGTGACGGCAGGAGATGACCCCATCGAGAACACTCCAATATCGCCGGTTTCTGTGGTTGTTTTCAGCATGCTTTGAAGGGGACCAGGCGACGAGAGCAGAGCCATGTTCTCGTTGACGCTTCTCAGTGGACGAGGTGCGGTGGGATTCCTCGGCAGTGCTCGTCCTTGTTGCTTGAAAGTATTGTTGAGAGATCCTTGACTCGCAGATCGCTTCGTTGAAGCCGCAGACATGTCCATCCTGACTGGACTGCATGGGAATTGGACGACTCTGGCTTACTGTTTCCGTATGTGGCGGTGCGACTGTTGTTTTTTGGGTATCTTCTCGAACCCTCGCTGAAGACCACGGCTTGAAACCAAGATTGGCTTAATGAGATATTCTTGGCGATTAACGAAATAAGAAAAGAAGAGGATGCTCGACTTCGTGCTCGTCAACGGCACACGCCGTAGTGGGAATCCAAACCAGCAGATCGATGGTGTAACGGGGCATTCGAGACGACAAAGGAAGAAGGTAGAGGTCGGTCAGAGATGCTGTGTCGAGCCTGTAAATGTAGAGCTCGTTTCTGGGCACACACACGGAAGCTTTTTCTGGAAGGTGTAGTAGAGGTACTCGCCACTACCGTTTCTAATAGATCCCATGAGGAGGAGCCGGCCTGCTAATGCTCCTTCTAAGGTATGTGGGAGTATCGGGAAATGGTGCCTGCCTCAGCGCCGAGTCCAACTCGAAGGTAGGTCCTTTCGGGAAGCTCTTGCCTCACTTGCCGCACATGATGGAAACATCTTTTGGCATGTGCTGGCCAGCAAACCAAACGCCAACTTGCTTCCGAATACAGGGCATCCCTGAGTGCATCTGCAGTCAACATGAGCATACATCCTCAAGTTCGTGCACCGTTTCTCGTAGCTGAGGTACACTCACCAACCGATGTTGAAGCATCGCGTTTCCACATCTGAGTTTGAATCATGAGTGCCAAACATCTCTTACCAGACGACACCTATCGTCAGCCAAGCCCTGGACAGCTCGAGAACCTCTGTGGGTTCAGTCAAGTTGTGTGATTTACGTGAGCCGCAAAGGGCGTTCACCAACGACAATCGGAGGAAACATCGTGATGACCCTTCCCTCCATCAAGGTCATGCCGCACCATTCTTATTGGCGAGTGAAAAAGTAGTCCATACAAATGCAATCATGTTTTGGATCTCGTTGGCAAAGGCAAAGTAGATATGGGCGAGGACGTCGAATTGTCCAATGATATGAACCGACCCCAGGTTCGCATTGTACATCTTACATGGCAAAACAACCTCTTGCATACACCGATCCAGCCGCCCTCGTTGATGCCTTGATATTGGAAAATTCTTGCCGAATAGCAAGTAGCATATGCACATGGACTAGGTACCTTACCCAAGCCAAGAGGACCAGCGGTGTTCTGAGCATCGAACCGTGAGATATGTGGCCTCAGCGATCTGACAGATCGCATGAGCATGATTCAGCTGTCGTAATCAATAGTCCCCAGCAATGTCTTCGGTCGAGGCGGACGACGCTTGCCGCCCCGGCCGGATGGCGGATGGCAATTTCGGGGGGTTACAGTCCGCAGGTATGGACAAGTCGCCACTTCTTGTCTTGAAGCAGCAAGTCCCGCTGAAATTGAAACATGGGAGCTCGGAGCGCGCCAGACCAGACCAGAGTCGCCTCGCAATTGTACTCGTCTCATCACCTTCTGAGATCCAGGCCACGCCGCCGTAAGCACAAAGGAGGGGGTCCAACTGTCGACGGTACCCTCCCTGATAAACCCCTGACAAGATGCTCGCCTCCACAGCGGCGCTAGGGAATGGCGGAGCACAGGGATGTCCTGTCCTTGGCCTGGGCTGGGCAGGTGGCAGAACGATTTGGGATGCGGCGTTCCTCAGCCGCGCCCCCGCCGTCACGGGCGAGATGGGGAAATGTGTCCTTTCCTCTGGCTGCAACCCTGGTAGGAGATCTACCAGTACCGGTGGACGCATAGGGTGAGTGGGCTGCTCAGGGTCGACCGCCACCTTTTTGTTCGAGTCTTACCCATCGAAGGCTGAGGGGCGGTAGGAATACGCTTGATAAGCGGTGTGCGTGCGGGCAAGAGAGGACCTGGTGTCAATGGCTCCGTATAACGTCAAGTTAGCAACGTGCCAATCGTTCAACTGCGGAGGATATTTTTTTCTCTTCCAACCGCTTGATTATCAATTGACCGTTTCTCTGCCTTTTGACGTGAGCCAGCGCTGGGGTTCATTTCTCCAACTGGGGGGTTGGGGAGGGGTGCAGTGTGGAGGCCGTTGCCCCTCCGCGTCCATTCACAGCCCACACGCCGCTTTGTGCCCGCCTTTCTGAACCAGTCGAGGTGGGGGCCATGTCCGCCGTTAAGTTCAGGGACATGCCGTGGCAAGAACATACATGGTAGGTTGGCAAGGTTGGCCATGGAGGCGCTGTACCTGTTGCTACGATGGGCAGAAGCACCCCCCTCCTCCACAGGCTAGTGGCACCCGCGCCTGCCTTGTCAGTAAATGTCTGGCCTGCGTGCACCTAGGAACCTGGGCAGGTCCCTTCCTAGAGGAGAGGGGGGGGGGTTCCAGAAAAAGGGACACCTGTTCACAATCAACAGAGGGACTCAGCTTAAGAACTACAGCTTCCTTCTTAACCTCCACCGCCGCCCTCCACTTCCTACTTAAACCCACTCATCACCTTAGGAACCTAACTTGCTTCGAGCTTGCTTCCTATCGTGCCTCTTGTCCTTCCCCATCCCTCACCGTACATCACATCAAAGGTACAGTACCCCTCCCCCCCCTCTGGCAGGATACTTGCTGTTTGATCTCTCAAACGAGCTCAATGCAGTCAGCCCATTTGCGACGGCCTTGCTTGCCTTGGCCGATCAATTTACCGAAGGTCACCACCCGCTAACTCGGTCTTTCTCGCAGGGTCAAAATGCACTGCAAGCGTGTTGCCTTTGGCCTCCTGGCCGCCGCCGCGGCTGTCGCCGCCGCTGACGATTCGGACGTCACCCAGCTCAAGAAGGACACCTTCGATGACTTTGTCAAGACCAACGACCTCGTCCTTGCTGAGTGTGAGTGTTTCTTTGCTCTGTCCTGCGAGGCCCTGAACCCAGCTAATCACGCTCTCCAGTCTTTGCTCCCTGGTGCGGCCACTGCAAGGCCCTCGCTCCCGAGTACGAGGAGGCTGCCACGTCCCTGAAGGAGAAGAACATCAAGCTCGCCAAGATTGACTGCACTGAGGAGGCCGACCTCTGCCAGACCTACGGCGTTGAGGGCTACCCCCCCCCTTCAAGGCTTCCGGGGCCCCGACAAACATCCTCCCCCCTACTCTG